TTCCATATCCTACTTCGTGAGTACACTACAGAGAAATGCCCTCATTTGTAGCAGTGATAGAAACCAGACAAAAAAGGGCCGCAACACAGGCTCAGTGATGATGCTTCCCTTGCACCAGACCAGGAGCCTATTTTAATACCGGTCTTTACATCCGATGCTATCTCAGGCATGCAACAAGTGGCATACCTGACTAAGGCAGACTTTTCTGCAACTACACTATGTTGCCAAAAATATTGGGCCAGCCCTCCAAATCATTGGATTCAGGTGTTCCAATCACCTCCATGGCCACAAGTGTATAAAATCAAGCACCTAGGCATGCATACTGCTTCTACAAACATTTGTGAAAGAATGGGTCACTGTCAGGATCTGTGAATTCAAGCGTGGTACCATGATAGGTTGCCATCTGTGCAGTAAATCCATCCGTGAAATTTCCTTGCTATTAAATATTCCATGGTCAGCTTTTAGTGGCGGTACAAGAGGAAGCACCTGGGAACAACAGCAACTCGGCCACCAAGTGGTAGGCCACGTAAAAAATAACAGAGTGGGGTCAGCGCATGCTGAAGCGCGCACAATGGGCAGAAGTCGGCAACTGTCTGCAGAGTCAATAACTAAAGACCTCCAATTAGACTTTAGAGCAGTGGAGACTTTTTCTCTGGAGTGACGAATCATGCTTCTCTGTCTGGCAATCTGATGGACATGTCTGGGTTTGGTGGTTGCCAGGAGAAAGGTTCTTGCCGGGCTACATTGTGCCAAGTGTAGCGTTTGGTGGAAGGGGGATTATGGTGTGGGGCTGTTTTTCAGGGGTTGGGCTTTTGGCCCCTTAGTTCCAGTCAAGGGAACTCTTAAGGCATCGAGTCCTGACCTGAACCCGCTAGAACACCCTTGGGATGAATTAGAACGGAGACTGTGAGCCAGGCCTTGTTGTCCGACATCAGTTCCTGACCTCACTAATGTGTTTCTGTAAGAATAGTCAAACCTTCCCATAGACACACTCCTAAACCTTGTGGACGGCCTTCCCAGAAGAGTCGAGGCTGTTATAGCTGCAAAGGGCGGGGCCAACTCAATATTGAACCCTACAGACTAAGACTGGGATTCCATTAAAGTTCATGTGCGTGTAAAGGCAATCGTTCCAATACTTTTGCAATAGTTTTGCAATAGTGTATGTCACAATTCCTCAGACAACTAATGGCTCTAATACAGCCATCACTGTCCAAGGTTCAGAATCTCCAGGCTCCTTCATCAGCTCAACCGTCTCTACCTTAGGCAGATCCCAATATGCCCAGCCAGAAGAGGTAGATAAGAGAACAAGAGGAAACTACAGCAGATTTCTCACTTCCAGGCTCCTTTGTACCTGCTGTTAAATCTTCACTCCATATGCTTCTCAGTGTTTATGCTCTTTCTTATGCTAGGTGCAGAAGCCTTGACATTATTGCACTTGAATCTCCTGTCTTGTCATGCCCCTTTGGGTACAAAGAGCTGCCAAATCTAAAAAGTCATTTACAATTCATGAACAAATAATAAAATGGGCAATTTATGACAATTGGGTCAATTCAAAAAATCATTGCCAAGCTCTATCCAGTGAAAAAAGGAGTTCACTAAAAAGTGGTCTGTTCCAGTAGTAAACAGGGCCATCTCAGTCCTAAATAAGCATCTCACTGTTTCAATGGAAGATGTTCCTTCGTTCTGAGGTTCTGCAGATAGGAAGTTTGAGACACTCTTAAAGGCTCTCATGATTGCAGGCCTTGCTCTGCAACCGACTATTGCTACAATTTTTGTCGGTCAAAATGCAGCTAACTGGACTAGGGCAGTGAACAATCAACATGATCCTGCGTTCCAAGACTATGCTTTAACTGAGCCATTACAGAAATTCCCTTCTACCCTGCTCTTTTGTGTGGATGCCCAAGAACAAGTAATGACACAAGTTTCCAGAATAACTTTAACTTCCAGTCACATGCGTAGAATTTTGTCGCTTAAAGCCTACTCAGCTGAAGCTGCCTGTAGAAGACATCTTACACGTATGTATTTTATAGGAAGACTGCTCTTTAGATAGGAACTTGGAAAATTCATCAAAGGTATCACAAGAGGAAAGGTTCTTCTCAAAACGCAGAGCACCCCAATGCTCTGCCAAAGCTTAAAATTCAAACCTCTTCCATTCACCATAAGACTTGCCCCACAAAGCCCTCTTCCCAATGAACGAGTATCTTCATGAGTGGAAGGACAACTGTTGCAGATTGCTCTTTATCTGGATCACAGACATCCCAGACCTGTGGATTCATTTGGTGGTTTCAAAGAGGTACAAAATAGAGTTCAAAATTCTACCCTCTCAATTTTTTTCTTTTAAATCAGCCAAAGTCAGCCCAAGAACAGTCAGATTTGCAGAATGCTCTGAAACATTTTTTGCCTAGGGAGTAGTTGAGCCAGTACCTCTACAGGACAGGGTCAAAGGAACCTGTTCATGGTACCAAAACCAATCTGGGGCATTTGTCCTCTCTGGGACCTAAAATCTCTAATCGCATATCAAATATCAATCAAATGAAGTTGGGCCGTTTGATCTTTATTGTTGTTGGACCTGTTGACACAGTTCTGTTTGTCTAGTTGTTGCCCGTCCTTCCTACTCATTGCTTGGGGATGTCCCAGGGTCTATAAATACTCTGCCTGTATCCTTTACTGTATGATCAAGATAAGAGGAATTTTGACCTTTTCTCTCTATTACTTCATCTCCTTACTTCATTCATTTTTTCTTTCAGCCCACCTTTACTCCATTCTGAAGGTGGGTTTTGCAACACTGCCTACACAGAAGCAGTGTACTTGGAATTCCGCTGATATCCCCCCTTCACACAGGAGCATTTATTTGCCTCTCTGGGCCATCCCTTCTACAAGTGTCTAATATAGAACTACTTTACCGATAGCAACTCCCTCTATTGTGATGCCTACTAATCATCCTCTAACCTATTTTACTTTCTGCCATGTTTTACTTGCTGTTAATTTACTCCTGTGTATTATTTGTATGGATATAAATACATCTCTACTCCTGTTATATGTATAGGCCATTTCATTGGATCCTGTACACACTCTCAATTTACGAGCCATCTACGCAAGACCCATTTGCCATTTGTTTCCTGTTCACACCACTCGCATAAACCTGTATTGAACTGATGTTGTTACTCTTTTTTTTTCAATAAAATATTTGAACAAGAGGAATTTTGGCCTATAAATTCCATATCTTGCACACAGGACACAGGCCACCCTCTCTTCTTATCATGGGTTACTCTGCTTTGCTTGCTACAAAACTGAGGATTCACAGAGTGGGGTAGGGTTTTATAGGAGGTCCCCAAAAGTGTTTTAACTTTGATGTAGTCCAGAAACAATAAGGCGGGATTGGGGTAAATGAAGCATGTGAACCTGATGACTTGCATTCATAATTACGCTAGGAGCCAAGTTAAAGTGGAGCTCCACCCAAAAGAGGAAGTTCCACTTTAAGTCTTTGTCCCCCGTTCCCCATTAAGAATTGGCACCTTTGGGGAGGGGCGGTGAGCGTGTACCCAAATTTGACTGGTACCAGCTCCCACATCTGCTGCGATCGGAAGCGGAAGTTGTCCTCCCCTTAGTAGTTTTGTGGGACACGTGACAGGTCCCAGAAGACTACGAGGCCATTCACAAAGTGCAGTGTTTCTCGCGTATGCGCAGTGGGCACCCGGCTGTGAAGCCACAAGCTGTCACAGCCGGGTGCACACACTGAAGATGCCGACGTCAAGGAGAAACGATGGCCAGTGAAACCAGTGGTGGTGAGGACACTGCTGAACCAAGGGACAGGTAAGTGGCTGCAGTGTTCGTAGCTGCTGATTTTTATTTATTTTTTTAGGTGGAACTCTGCTTTAAGCATTTGAAACACTTTAAAATGTGTGTAAAGATATGAGTTTTGGAAAGAGTGGGGAAGGCTTAGATCCTCTGACAAGTTTATAGTGCTTTTTTTTTTGTTTTTGTCCCCGCTGAAGAGGTTCAACCCTCTTTTTTTTAGAAGTGAGTGTAAATACAAAATGTTGTCAAGAGAGTAAGAGCTAAGGATAATTGTTTCTGTGATATCTTAAATAGGATGGTATTATCTTTTTTCCTGTTGCATCTCCATGATAGAAAGTGTTCCTGGAAAATGACCTAAAATACCCTTTTTTTTTTTTTTTTTTTTTTTTTTTTTTTTTTTTTTAAATATTTGGGCCTCCTCGCTCTAGTAGTCAATATGATCTATTTTGGCCACATGCCTCATCACAACTGTCCTCACACAAATACTACTGAGGAGGTAGGGGGTGTACTACTGAGGACTCCAAAGTAAAAGTTAAAATGTGCAACTACTATAACAAAAAAGTTAGTTAGGCAGTACAGGCAGTCCCTGGGTTAGGGATAGGTTCTATAGGTTTGTTCTTGAATTCAATTTGTATGTAAATTGGAACAGGCACATTTTTTTTATGTGTATCTCCAGCCTAAAAATTATTTTGAAGTTTTTTAGGATAGGAAAGGGTTCACTAGCCATGCAATGATGTGTGATTGCGGACAGGTCCACTGGACAGTAGGTGGAAGCATGCAGTGAGCAGCAAGATGGTTGCCCTGGGGTTTCCAGGACCAGTGTGACATAACGCTGCCTCTGTTTTTAAGTACGAGTTATATGTAAGTCGGATGTTTGTAACTCGGTGACTGCCTGTACTGAAAATGGAGAATGTTGGTACAATGTCTATATGCCTATTTATATCTATCTGTTTGTTTCTGTGACATCAATCAGGATTTAAGAAAGTCAAGAAATATGAGGTTGCATAGCATTTGTGATAGTTAGCTGCATGCCAACTGAGTAGTGAATGTCTATGTAAATGTAGATAAAATGGATTATGTAAAACTGTAACACAGATGCAGTTTCCAGGATAGCCTTATATATGCGTTCACCGACTTATGGTGCTTCTTTTTCAGGCTTGCTTTTTAACTGTAGTTCATTTATGTCTACTTTTGTCCCCCACAGATGCCCATGGCTCAGTATAGAGGTGTCTCCAGCTCTTCCTGCTTATAACGCTGTCATGTTTCTATTTGTGTTGGCCAATTTCAGCATGGCCACCTTCATGGATCCTGGAATCTTCCCTAGAGGTATGATCTTATTCCTGCCTACAAGCTCTTTCATGAAACCTCATGACTAAGAAATATCTGAAGGTAGAATTTTCTGCAAGCCCACAGGACCTTAGTTTCTTCGGCAAAGTATGACATGTAAGGGAGTAGTTCATTGTGAACATGTTGTCACCTCAAAGCAGTTCCTTGCAAAAGGAGATGTGTTATTCTCACCTCTCTGGTGACTTGTCTCATACCTTCACTGTATTGCAATGATGCAACTTCCATAGGTAGTGTCGGCATTTGACATTTCTGGAAGTGTTGGATGCCAGTCTAGTGGAGGCCCAAGGATGGATCCATACCATGCCACATAGGTCCAACATCCAGCATCCATTAGCTGAAGTGTTGAATTCTGAAGTTTATGAAGAAAGACACAGGGCTGCTGGAAATCTATTTTGCAAGGATCTGCTTTGACCAAATGTTTAAGAGCCGATTCAAACGTGTGGTGTGGACTGAAGCTCAGGTTTCACAGCTAATTGATACAGTAGTTCAGCGGTTCATGTCAAGTTTACATCAGGTTCCTGACAGGATTATTTTAGGACTTTATCCTGTTCACACATATGCGGTTTAGAAATGGTTCCCATAGAAGGCAATAGCCTGTAATCTGAACCTGAAGGCATGGCTCAGAAATCGTACATGACTTATTTTCAAACAGTACTGAATCCGCACTGCCAGTGCACCGGACATATGTGAACAGGCACCATGGAAAGCAATGTTTTTTCACATCTTATGCAGATTGGATGCAGTTCAAACCGCATCCAATACGCATATACAATTAGGTCCATATATATTTCGACACAGGAACAATTTTCATACTTTTGGCTCTGTATGCCACCAGAATAAATTAAAACAAAACAATCCAAAATGAATCTGAAGTGCAGACTTTCAGCTTTAATTCAAGGGGTTGAACAAAAATATCAAGTACAAATTTTAGGAACTGGAGCCATTTTTATACACAGTCCCTCCATTTTCAGGGGCTCAAAAGTAATTGGACAAATTAATATAATCATAAATAAAATGTTCATTTTTAACATTTTGTTGAGAATCCTTTACTGACAATGGCTGCCTGAAGTCTGGAACTCACAAACATTACCAAAGAGTGGATTTCCTCTTTTCTGATGCTTTGCCAGGCTCTAACTGTAGCTGTCTTCAGTTGTTCTTTGTGGGTCTTTCTGCCTTTAGTTTTGCCAAGTGAAATGCATGCTCAATTGGGTTGAGATCAAGTGATTGACTCGGCCATTGCAGAATATTCCACTTCTTTTCCTTTAAAAGCTTCTGGGTTGCTTTTGTAATGTGTTTTGGATCATTGTCCATCTGTACTGTGAAGTGCCGTCCAATCAACTTTGCTGCATTTGGCTGAATCTGGGCTGGCAGTATATCTCTAAACACTGCAGAATTCATCTGGCTGCTTCTGTCTTCTGTCACATCATCAATAAACACCAATGACCCAGTGCCACTGGAAGCCATGCATGCTTATGCCATCACACTGCCTCTACCATGTTTTACAGATGATGTTGTGTGCTTTGGATCATGACCTGTTCCAAGCCTTCTCCATACATTTTTCTTCCCGTCATTCTGGTACAGATTCATCTTAGTTTCATCCTTCCAAAGAATGCTTTTCCAGAAATGATTTGGCTTTTTTCAGATGTTTTTTGGCAAAGTCTAATCTCACTTTTCTATTCTTATGAATGGTTTGCACCTTGTGGTGAACCCTCTGTATTTGCTCTTGTGAAGTCTTCTCTTGATTGTAGACTTTGACAATGATACGCCCACCTCCTGGAGAGTGTCCTTCACTTGTCCAGATGTTGTGAATGGGTTTTTCTTTACCATAGAGAGGACCCTGTGATCATCCACCACTGTTGTCTTATGTGGACGTCCATCCCTTTTTATGTTGCTGAGCTCACCAGTGCGTTGAACACATGATCTAGGTTCACAGCAATAGATTCCAAATGCAAAAACACACTTAGAATCAAGCCAGACCTTTTACCTGCTTAATTGATGAAGAAATAACAAAGGAGTAGCCCACACCTGGCCATGAAACAGCTTTTTATTCAATTGTCCAATTACGTTTGGTCCCTTGAAAAAGGGGGGATGGCTACTCTTAAGAGCTGTAATTTCTGAACCCTTCCTCCAATTTGGATGCACATACCCTCAAATTAAACCCGAGAGTAAGCACCTTCAGCCCATATCCATTATATAACTATAGCTTGAATATGTTTTGGTAAATACCTGAAAAAAAAAACAAAAATTGTGCCGGTGTCCAAATATATATGGACCTAACTGTATGTGAACCGGCACTAAGGAAATGACAGAGCTGCTCTAATTAGTTAGGGAAATTAGGCAAGACAGACATTTGAATTATGAGGCTGTCTGTTCTTCAAATGGATCCTTATGAGAATTTTCATCAACTCTGTTCTGCCCCAGCTGAAGAGGATGAAGATAAAGATGATGACTTCCGGGCTCCTTTATATAAGACGGTGGAAGTAAGGGGCGTCCAGGTCCGCATGAAGTGGTGTTCAACTTGCCGCTTTTACAGACCTCCTCGCTGTTCTCACTGCAGTGTTTGTGACAACTGTGTGGAGGTAAGTTGTAGACTATAGATATTACACTGTGTTCAGATAAAACATATTTGCTCTTGATTACATGGGTGACAGTTCAAGTCATGAGTACCAGCCAAAAGTAGTGTATAGAAGTGTTCTCTGTTCATCATAAAAAAAAAAAAAATCACCTAAAAAGCTTGCAGCAAAAGAAAATAAATTACACCTCTCCAGCAGGCGGTGACTCCTATCTTTGCTCTCAGATTCCATTAGCTGGCCTCTGCATGCCTAAAGGATGTAGTGATGTTGGGGCCAGCACATGGAACCAGACCCAGCAAGAGGGACACAAGGCACCCACAGTATTTTGCTTTTTCTTTTGACTGTTTGCCCTAATTCTTGCTGTAAACCTAAGGAATAAACCCATGAGTATATAAATGTGCTTTTCCAACAAGAATGATGCATATACAAACTACTTACAAGAAATCAATACCAAGTTACACAGAGTGCTAAAATCAGGCATGTATACATACACACATGGACATGTTAACTATCATTACCTAGCAAATGAACATTTGCATTAGTTTATTTCCAGGGGGCATACACTTGATCACTTATCTTTGATTATAGGTGGTTTATGATTTCCTTAGTGAACAGGATTCCCATCATTAGTGATCAGGTTCTTGATCTTGGCAGTCTCTCTTGTAGTGAAGCTAAAATGTTGTCCCGTGGTAGATTCCAGCGCAGGCCTTTTATTTGGGACATTTGTAGCCTTTCCCACTTGGATCCTATATCAATTTCTAGGAATGAAGCAATTTTGCCTGCAAACTCCAGATGGTGGCACAGTACTATTAATGCCATAGGCTAACTTTATTAAAAGGTCAAACTATCCTTGCTGCTTTTTGACAAAGCTGCTATAAAGCTCGGGTCATATATTTAAACTGAGCTGCTTTTCTCAAAAGTGGTTTAACACAGATACAGTTATATCAATACTATCTCTCTACTGTTTTATTGGACAACATGGATCTTGTTAAATGCTTAACACTTGCCTAATTTGACAATAGCATGTCCCCATAGTCAACTAATGTTTTGTGCCTGAAAATCACAAATATATGCTGATGTCACCTCATCTGACACCTAGATTTTTTTTTTTTAATTTTTTTTTTTGCAGAAAACCTTACTAAACGTTTTCTGTGGTGACTGAGTTGCTTTAAAGTGTATGGAAACTCTGGCACACTTCCAGTCCTAGAGTGACAATGCTGCTCCTCCACAGAGAGTAAGCGTTGTCACTCTAGGAGAGGTGTGTTACTAGCAGGATCACCAGGTGAAAACGGGTGTTTTTTAAACTTTGTGTTTTTTTTTTTTATTATTTTTACTATTTTTATAAAAATATTTTCCACATAAACATTCATTACAAGGTATATCCACTGGTGTCCCAGAGTACTCACTGAAGAAGTGACCATAGCAAAAGCCGCTTGCTCAGAGATTAATTTATTTCAGGTACTTATATAGCGCCGTCAATTTACTCAGCGCTTTTACATATATATTGTACATTCACATCAGTCCCTAACCCTAAAGGGGCGTACAATCTAAGGTCCCTAACTTACATTCATACATGCACATACTAGGGCCAATTTAGACAGGATTCAATTAACCTACCAGCATGTCTTTGGAGGTGGGAGGAAGCCAGAGTACCCGGAGGAAACCCATGCAGGCACAGGGAGAACATGCTAACTCCAGGTGGAAGTGCTAACCATTTAGCCACTGTGCTGCTCCTCTCAGAAATTCTCTCTGAATCACCCACTATATTTTTAGATGTCATTGGAACTCTGGTGATTTAATGCAGGCCATACATGGGTCGAATTCTAAAGGACTTTTCTTTAGAAAATCCAAAATTTCATGCATTTTGTAATCTGATGGTGCCACTATTGATTTATAAATTTGACCAACCAAGTCTTTCATGTCATGTTTCTGCAGAAAATAATTTCTGTGGCCAAAAATTTTCTTTTTTTTTCCAGTTGAGCTCATGCTCATTTATTTTTTTTCGATCACATTTCTCGCACAATTCTCCCATCATTGATTAGAAATTTTGTTAGCTTTTAAAAAATTTCCAGCATGCCTGATCACTCAAATTTGATGGTTGCTTGAAAATCGGCCATTGCTGTGGCCCACTAATGGTGCGAAATTTGAATGAAAATTCTTAGAAACTATTTTCGAAAGAAAATTCTTTTGAAATTCAACCAGTGTATGGCCGGCTTAAGTCTGTTCTCTTCTGCTAAGTTCCCATTCTGGCTCACCTGTTGCAGCCTATATAAAATATTTATCTGGATTCTGCACTCTGCATTTATTTTACTTCAGGGTGAAGTAGATAAAGTGAAACATAGTTGGTTTTGAGATAGCTGTAGAGTCGCGCAGAACTCTCCCCTTAGGCCTTCACCCAAGCATTATTATATGCTTCTTTTTTCTAAAGTCTTCTGGACAGTCAGATGACACACTGGTTCCTCTACTGTTTTTTCTTAGTTGTGGGCAGTCCCCTGTTGATTCAGAGAATGTCACTGATTTGATAAAACCAGTGCGGAGCACTGGGAGGCCAGGGCTATAATGCGCAGAACTCACAGTTTATTCTTAGTGTTCCAGACTGAGTGGTGATTGGCAACATGGGAAGCCAATGGATGATTCAGTTTTGATTCAGTTTTCCAGTAAATATATTTTTTTGCTGGTAGCCAGACCTTTTGTTAATTTTGACTGCCATTTCAGTGTGCCCATTCTTTTCTAAATACCCTTCTTTAATGTTTATCCTTATAGGAGTTTGATCACCACTGTCCATGGGTGAATAACTGCATTGGACGCAGGAATTATCGCTACTTCTTCCTTTTCCTTGTGTCCCTCACGTTGCACATAATGAGCGTCTTCATCTGTGGCCTTTTCTACACATTGGGGCATCCAGACCAACTCAGAGACATCCCAGCAATTGTGACGTATCCTTCAACAGCGGTCTGCTTAGCATCTTTGCTCTTGTAGAAAATCACCATACACTCTATGTACTTTTTCAACAGAAACAGTATGACCAGTCAGGATGCAGTAAAAACAAAACAAAATGGAGGGTACACCAGCCTAGTGCATAATCCTTAAAACTTGACTTGATTAAATAAACTGTCGTAAGTAGTATACTCACAAACCAAAGGGTGAATAAAAGCTTGTCGTAGTAAAAATGCGACTTCTAATCCACGATGCATCACATTACATAGTGGGACATGTGGTAGTCCAACACGCTAACGCATTTTGATGCCTTCCCTCTTCCTTAGAGCCAGGTTGCGGTGTAAGGGACAAGAGGTACCAATAAGTCTATACTAAGACACTGGAAAGTACAAAATTGCCTTCTGAAAACAAATGTCGTCACTTCCACAAAAAAAAAAAAAAAAGACATACTTTTAGTTTTTGAAAAGTGGGCAGAGCAATGAAAATAACTTCTTCCAAACTTTGTTTTGTGGCACAGATGCAGTCTAAAATATAATGACACTTATCCCACCTCTGCCAGTCTTATTGGCCTCATCCTTGCAAAAAAAAAAAAAAAAAAGCATCATAACTTCTGTGAAGAAGCTGCATGCTACTCTGCAGCTGCAGTAGCTGAGACCAGAAGGTCCAGAGTCATAGCCCTAGAACTGTAGCAATACTTATGTTTATGTAAAAATACAGATTGTACGAGTTGCACCTCGTTGGACCTAACCCCCAGTAATATATCACAAAGTGGTTGAATTCCTGGAGTTCAGCTTTAAAGCCAGCAATGTATCTCTCAGTCAAAGATGTCCTTTACAGCATTGCAGTAAAATGTTAGGTAGCAGTAGGCCTACTTAAAAAAAAAAAAAAAAAAAGTCTTATTGGTTACCATGAGATACATAAACACTTTGACTCATGTTTTTAGGCAAGAGGTAAATTGTTTGTCAGGTCGCTTAGCCAAACTCCTATCTATCCTTTCTAAAGCTGTATCCAACCAGACAACAACCCAGGGGTAACAGGTGTTCAAAGTCTTGTCCTGTCCATAAACTTTATTTGAATTCAGCTAGCGGCGTGAGATGAGGTCAATCAGCCTTTTTGTACATATATACACTATATTACCAAAAGTGTTGGGACACCCCTTCAAATCATGTGATTCAGGTATTCCAATCACCTCCATGGCCACAGGTGTATAAAATCATCACCTAGGCATGCAGACTGCTTCCACAAACATTTGTGAAAGAATGGGTTGCTCTCAGGAGCTCAGTGACTCCAAGCGTGGTCCCGTGATAGGTTGCCACCTGTGCAATAAGTCCATCCGTGACATTTCCTTGCTACTAAATATTCCACGCTCAACTGTTAGTGGGATTATAACAAAGTGGAAGCAACTGGGAACAACAGCAACTCAGCCATGAAGTGGTAGGTCACGTAAAATGATAGAGCGGAGTCAATAGCTAAAGACCTCCAAACTTTGTGTGGCCTTCAGAATAGCACAACAACAGTGTGTAGAGAGCTTAATGGAATGGGTTTCCATGGCCGAGCAGCGGCTTCCAAACCTTACATTACCAAGTGCAATGCAAGGCTTCGGGTGCAGTGGCGTAAAGCACGCCGTCACTAGACCCTAGAGTAGTGGAGATGTGTTATCTGGAGTCACCAATCGTGCTTCTCTGTCCGGCAATCCGATGCACGTGTCTGGGTTTGGCGGTTGCCAGGAGAACAATACTTGCCTGACTGCATTGTGCCAAGTGTAATGTTTGGTGGAGGAGGGATTATGTTGTGGGGTTGCTTTTCAGGAGTTTGGTTTGTTCCCCTAGTTACAGTGAAGGGAACTCTTAAGGCATCAGCATACCAAGACATTTTGGGTAATTTCATACTCCCAACTTTGTGGGAACAGTTTGGGGATGGCCCCTTCCTGTTCCAACATGACTGCGAACCAGTGCACAAAGCAAGGTCCAGAAAGACACATGGATGAGTGAGTTTGGGGTGGAGGAACTTGACTGACCTCAACCCGATAGAACACCTTTGGGATAACTTAGAGCAGAGACTGCAAGCCAGGCCTCCTCCCCCAACATCAGTGCCTGACCTCACAAATGCGCTTCTGGAAGAATGTTCAAACCTTCCATAGACACACTCCTAAACCTTGTGGACGGCCTTCCCAGAAGATTTGAAGCTGTTATAGCTGCAACGGGGTGGGCCAACTCAACATTGAACCCTACGGACTAAGACTGGGAGGCCATTAAAATTCATGTGCGTGTAAAGGCAGATGACCCAATACTTTTGGGAATATAGTACATGTGTAGCCTAGTGGTTACATGTGTGCAGGGCTGTTTGCACCGCCCAAAATGCAAACAGTCTGCACTTGCTATTGTTTTGTACAGGCTGACTTGCTCCTGCTGTGTGCTGCAACTGTCACTCCCGGCAGAGAAAATACAGCTGTGTTGTACACTATACGGCTATTTGCGGTCATGTGCGTGAAGCCTTAACCTCACGTACAGTTGACAGACTCACTGTACAGTCTTTGTACAGTTTATGTAATATGAGGACTTATCTAAACTATCTAAGCAATCTAGCAGGCCCTTGCACTATATGGCCGTTGAAAGACCTAAATGAGATTGTACACTCAGCTCAGTAACATGTGTAGCTAGCTTTTTGTTCAAAAAGCAGCTGCAGCTTGAGCTGAAAAGCCTGTTCCCTGCCCGCATACTGCAGAGGAAGACCCTTGCTCTTTGTGTGGAAGCAGTGGGCTCTCTTCATAGGTCAAAAGCCTCCTGATGAGTTTCAGCTAATGCTCCCTGCTAATTGAAGAGTTGGGCTTTAAACTCTAGCTTGATTGTATTTCTGCCATTCATCAGTTGTGTACCTTAACTAGAGCACAGTATTTCAGTGATGTGTGTGGCTGGTTTGTTTTTCTTCCCTGTTGCAGGACTTACAGGATTTCACATTGTCCTGGTGTCCCGAGGTCGCACTACTAACGAGCAGGTGCAGTACTTGCTAATTTATATTGCTGTACTTTCCATGACTACATTCCTTTTATTCATTCAGTGCTGACATACTCTAGAATACTTTTATAGCAGAGAATGTAGGCCACAAGCACATACAGTGAATATAAAAAGTCTACACACCCCTGTTAAAATGTCAGGTTTTTGTGATGTAAAATAATGAGACAAAGATAAATCATTTCGGAACTTTTTCCACCTTTATAAACTGTACAACTCAGTTAAAAACAGACTGAAATCTTTTAAGGGGGGGAGTAAACATAAAAATTTTTAATAATGTGGTTGCATAAGTGTGCACACCCTCTTATAACTGGGGATGTAGCTGTTTTCAGAATTAAGCAATCAAATTCAAAATTATGTTAAATAGGAGTCAGTACGCACCTGCCATCATGTAAAGTGCATCTGATTAATCCCAAATAAAGTTCAGCTGTTCTAGTAGGTCTTTCCAGACATTTTCTTAGTCGCATCCTACAGCAAAAGCCATGGTCCGCATAGAGCTTTCAAAGCATCAGAGGGATCTCATTGTTAAAAGCTATTAGGAGAAGGGTACAAAAGACTTTCCAAGGTATTAGATATACCATGGAACACAGTGAAGACAGTCATCAAGTGGAGAAAATATAGCGCAACAGTGACATTACCAAGAATTGGACGTCCCTCCAAAACTGATAAAAAGACAGAAAGAAAACTGGTCTGGGAGGCTGCCAAGAGCCCTACAGCAACATGAAATGAGCTGCAGGAATATCTGGCAAGTATTGGCATAGCCCATATGTCTGGGCTATGGGGTAGAGTGGCAAGACGAAAGCCTTTTCTTATGAAGATCAATATCCAAGCCCAAAGCATGTGGGAAAATGTGTTATGGTCTGATGAAACCAAGATTGAATGTTTTGGCCATAATTCCAAAAGATGTTTGGCGCAAAAACAAAACTGCACATCCCCAAAAGAACACCATACCCGCCGTGAAGCATGGTGGTGGCAGCATTATGCTTTAGGGCTGTTTTTAAGCTGGAAATGGAGCCTTAGTCAAGGTAGAGGGAATTATGAACAGTTCCAAATAACAGTCAATATTGGCACAAAACCTTCAGACTTCTGCTAGAAAGCTGAACATGAAGACGAACTTCATCTTTCAGCATGACAATGACCCAAAGCATACATCCAAATCCAGAAAGGAATGGCTTCACCAGAAGAAGATGAAAGTTTTGGAATGGCCCAGCCAAAGCCCAGACCTGAATCAGATGGAAAATCTGTGGGGAGATCTGAAGAGGGCTGTGCACAGGAGATGCCCCTGCAATCTGACAGATTTGGAGTGTTTTTGCAAGGAAGAGTGGGCAAATATGCCAAGTCAGGATGTGCCAAAAAGACTGAGTGCTGGTATCACATCAAAAGGTGCTTCAACAAAGTATTAGTTTAGGGTGTGCACATTTATGCAACCACATTATTTTAGTTTTTAATGTTTACTACACCCCCCTAAAAGATTTCAGTTTGTTGTTCAATTGAGTTGTGCAGTTTATTGGTCACATTAAAGGTGGAAAAAGATCTGAAATGATTTATCTTTGTCTAATTTTTTTTCCTTTAGAGAAACCTGACATTTTAACAGGGGTGTGTATACTTTTTATATTCATTGTAGCATATGCACTGTATGGCCAATTTGGTCAATATATAAAAATATATATATTTTATATAATGGAGCATCTAGGGGCCACACTAGCACATATACACTATGTATGTGTTAAATGTGTTAGTAGAGGGAAATAAATTGGATCCAATGACTCCCTGTCCATCCATTGTGTTTGTAAACTTGAAAAGGTTGTTTTACACCTAGCTCATCAGATTCACAGAGGCATTTTACACCTGTTAAATTTTCTATTTGCTGACCTTTAATTCTGGTAAATTTGAGGCTTCCTTCCTAGGCTAACACTTACATTTTTTATTTTATCTCTTAATTTCTTCTAGGTCACTGGAAAGTTCCGTGGTGGAGTAAATCCATTTAGTAATGGGTGTTGTCGAAACGTGAGCCATGTTTTGTGTAGCTCACCCCCACCCAGGTATGTTGTTATTATTTATGCGGCTTATGTCGGGTACACGCAGTGAGAAAATCGGACAAAAAAAGCGCATTAGGAGCAATCGTCCGATAATCTATATGTTGATATACAGCTTTTGAGAGTCGATCATGACAGTTCATGCGAAAACATCCAAAGGGACAAGTAAGAAAATTGTTCTCGTAAGACAACAGAACGAACGATTTATGTGTAATTAGTAGGGATGCACCGAAATTTCAGTGGCCGAAACGTCTCGGCCGAAATGAAAAATAAAAAAGCACCTATGCAGTGAAGGAAATACTTTCAAGTCACTGCAATTTGAAGTCGCACATATATGAATGGTACTCATTGGGCAACATGGGGTGCAACCAGGGGTGGACTGACAACTCATGGGGCCCCCGGGCAATAGGGGATCATGGGGCCCATGTGTCCTTGCCCAAACTCAAAAAAGCCTATGAAAAAGGTACCAGGGGCATCTCATGGGGCCCCCTACTGACCCCGGGCCCTCGGGCAGTGCCCGAGTTTCCAAGTGGTCAGTCCGCCCCTGCTACCATGTGCCTTTCATACAGGTAACAAGCTGAGATTAGAAGCAGTCTCTTAAAGGGAGTGCTGCTAATTTCATTTTGTTACCTGTATAAAAGACACCTGTCCACAGGAGCAATCAAACAATCAGATTCCAAACTTTCCACCATGGCAAAGACCAAAAAGCTGTCCAAGGATGTCAGGGATAAGATTATAGACCTACACAGGGCTGGACTGTGCTACCAAACTATTGCCAAGCAGCTTGGTGAGAAGGTGACAACAGTTGGTGCAATAATTCGCAAATGGAAGAAACACAAAACAAATGTCAGTCTTCCTAGGTCTGGTGCACCATGCAAGGTCTCACCTCGTGGAGTGTCGGTGATCATGAGAACAGTGAGGAATCATCCCAGAACTACACGTGAGGATCTTGTCAATGATCTCCAGGCAGCTGGGACCACAGTCACCAAGAAAACAATTGGTAACACACTACGCCGACCAGGCTTGAAAATCCTGCAGTGCCCACAAGGTCCCTCTGCTCAAGAAAGCACATGTCCAGGCCCGTCTGAAGTTTGCCACTGAACATCTGAATGATGCAGAGGAGGAATGGTTGATAGTGTTGTGGTCAGATGAGACCAAAATTGAACTCTCTGGCATCAACTCAACTCGCCGTGTTTGGAGGAGGAGGAATGATGCCTATGACCCCAAGAACACCATCCCAACTGTCAAACATGGTGGTGGAAACATTCTGCTTTGGTGGTATTTTCCTGCTAAGGGGACAGGACAACTGCACCGCATCAAAGGGACGATGGATGGGGCAATGTACCATCAAATCTTGGGTGAGAACCTTTTTCCCTCAGCCAGGGCATTGACAATGGGTCGTGGATGGGTGTTCCAGCTTGACAATGACCCACAACACACGGCCAAGGCAACAAAGGAGTGGCTCAAGAAGGAGCACATTAAGGTCCTGGAGTGGCCTAGCCAGTCTCCAGACCTTAATCCGATTGAAAATCTGTGGAGGAAGCTAAAAGTTCGAGTTGCCAAACGTCAGCCACCAAACCTTAATGACTTGGAGAGGATCTGCCAAGAGGAGTGGGCCAAAATCCCTCCTGAGATGTGTGCAAACCTGGTGGCCAACTACAGGAAACGTCTGACCTCTGTGATTGCCAGCAAGGGATTTGCCACCAAGTACTAAGTCATGTTTTGTGAAGGAGATCAAATACTTATTTCCCTCATGAACATGCAAATCAGTGCATAATTTGTTAGACATGCATTTCTTTTGAATGTCTTGTTGCTATTCTGTCTCTCAGTGTTACAATACACCGAACATTCGATTTTTAGACTGATCATTTCTTTGTGAGTGGGCAAACATTCAAAATCAGCAGGGGATCAAATACTTATTTCCTTCATTGTAACATTCATAGTGTGATCCGCTAATTATCCCCCAATGTAAAAACATCCTAAAAACGAAAAGCTGCACCATCACAATAATGGTGGTACTTCCATGCAACCAGAGTATATGTAGTCCTTTTCCAGTCTTCATCAGGTGCTCTCCAATCCTAGTACTAACCAAGTCCGATCTTGCCTTGATTCCGAGATCAGACGGGATTGGGCACTTTCAGGTAATGGTGGATAATATACAGCAGCGAAGGGCAGAAAAATACGTATTTATTACTGCAGCATCCACCAAATACAGAAAATCATTTATTGGTAAGACGACCTGTTAGGGCCCAATCACAGGGGCACTCAGCCCCATACAGTGTGAAAACCCCCTTTGTTATTTTTCTGTCCTAACTCTGAGCTGTGTGCAGGCAGCCCATATTAGTGACTTGAGATGCATCAGCAGTATGGACTCACTTGCATAACCAAGTATGACAGGTTCACCAACAGGTGCATTGGCGTTGGATGTGCAGGCACTGCATCAGGGTCCCTGCAAACGTCTCTGTGTATCTGTTGCGCTGTGTGGGTGAATCCTAACATTTGATGCGTGTCCATTCACTGTTATGGGCTACTTGCACACAGCTCAGTGCTAGAACAGAAAAGTAAACACAGGGCTCGGCACACTGTACGGGGATGTACGCCAGTGTGTATGAGCCCCTAAATGTAATCTGACTGATAATGACCACTGTGTTTTGTACTTTGTTACAATTGTTTACTCAGTCTCAATATTATTATACAGGATTTATATTGCGCCAACAGTTTGCTCAGTGCTTTACAATATAACGGGAGACAATACAGCAACAATACAGTTCAATACAAGAGGGTTAGGAGGGCCCTGCTCAATACATTTGGAAGTTGTTTATTATGATATAAAGAGTAAATTGCTGTAAATTCTGATGAGCCAACCATTTTATAATTTTTTATGGAATATCTTTTCTGTTTAGTTGCTACAATTTATTGCTCTGTGCCTACTGAAATAAGCTTGATTCTGTCATTGATATTGTCATGAATATTAATCCTTTTTTCATTTTCTTTTCCATTTTTCAGATATATAAAACGTCATAATCAGTCGGTTCTCTCGATAACTCCGCCATTTTTACGCCCTGAGATTTCAGAAAGTCAGATTGGCCTTAAAATTCTAGACAATGGCATTCAGAGTCCTCTTCAACACTACCAGGTATATCGTTTTAAAGGGGCGCATTGCACAAGTAGGTCATACAGGTCTTGGAAAGAGTGGAGACTGAGAGTACCTTGTTTGGGAGCAGGGCCTAATGTATTGATGTATGTATTAATGTAACATATACAGTAATTTATTTATTACAGGTACTTGTATAGCGCCGTCAATTTTATGCAGCGCTTTACATATATATTGTACATTCACATCAGTCCCTAACCCTCAAGGGGTGTACAATCTAAAGTCCCTAACTCAATACACATACTAGGGCCAATTTAGACAGGATCCAATTAACCTACGAGCATGTTTTTGTAGTGTGGGAGGAAACCGGAGTACCTAGAGGAAACCCACACAGGCACAGAACATGCAAACTCCAGGCAGGTGGTGCTGTGGTTGAGGTTTGAACCAACGACCCAAGTACTACCAGGCGGAAGTGCTTACCATTTAGCCACTGTGAATAAATCAAAGAGTGCACTAAATATAGGTAAATACAAAAATTATTAGTTTAAAATAATGATGTCCGTGATAAAAAAAATATTATATAAAAGTCCATCCACCATCACAAAGTAATTAAACAGTTCTGAAATCTTGCATAAATCAAACACCGTGAAAAAAAAAAAAAAAATCCACAACCGAATGAAATGGGTACACTCACCAGAGCTCCATGCTGACCAGATTATAAGTCAGCAAAGATAGTGTTTGCTATGGGAGCGATGATCAGCAGAAGTAATCCAAACTGGGAGCAATATACTGCAAGCAGCCAATCAGCACAATATGGAATAGCCTTAACAGCAGGTAGTCATCACGTCTCCATACCATAGATTATGTTCGGGGAATCAAAAAAAGAAATCATGGTGCAGTACGTTTAAAACCAAAATGTTTTTTTAAAACGTCAGAAATTCACTCACAAACAGGGTGTCTAGCCGACACCAGCAATGACAGCCTCAAGAAAGCAGGGACGAGCCTCGCTCACTGCGATATCACAGCCGACAGTCTACGAGGAGCGTCCTGACGTCACATCCAAAAGAAGCCCCGCCCTACTAGTTTCGTCATCCGACGTCCTCACGGGGCAGAATGGATGATAGACGCCTCTACACAACTATATATCACACACACAGTCTGCATTGCAGACTAATTGCAGCCAATCAGAAACGGCATTATGGTAACACAATAGCGCTCGATCTCTGCAGGTACATAAGAGTAATTGCACATAAAATACATATAAAAAAATTACTTCAATACAAGCAAACGAGCGATCCCAAAACAATAAAAAAAAATTCATAGATGTTAAATAGCAATTACCCACAATTAATATACAGCAATAATGAAATGGTAAACATAATCATAAATAATATGTAATTTATAAACTATAATAATATGCAGCTTAAAAAATACATAAAATACATCTGCCAAGCCATATATAGTAATAAATGCGTGTAATAATGATGTATATATAAAAATCACTATAATATACCTATAGTAATAGCATCGAATACATTAAAAAGACCAATAATGGCATAGAATTCATTGAAGGGCCAATAATCTATCGCAAATCTCAATTTAACATCCCAAACTAGTCGTATTTTAAAAAGAATGCGATAGTAACAAACAACCAGATATTATAAGGTAATAAAACCTATAAACTGATATAATAAACGGATATTAAAATCTATATATATATATATATATATATATATATATATATAATACCATAATAGTAATGTCAAATACATATGCGATGCGATTAGTCAAATATAGTAAGATGATATAAGGTTAAAACGACCTATAAACGGATATTAAATCCATCTACATATCTATTAGTATTACCAAATACATAGATGGACCAATAATATAGCACCACCCAATCTAGGCTAAACATTGCTATAGCTAAAAACAAATATAATAAACAGCCAGATAATGGTGATATCGAATACATAGGAGGACCAATTTAATTTATAGCAAACCCCAATCTAACATATTAAGCTAGTCATAGATAGAGAAAAAAGTCGAATATAATCAACAGCCAGATGATCTATGGTAGTGAAAAACTATAAATGGATATTGTAAACAGATATTAAATCCATCTACATATCTAATACCAAATTAATTCTAACGAAGAATGTATCATTCAACTATAGTACAGAAAAACAATCATTCAAAAATTAGTCAGAAAACAGTTTAAATCGATGTCAATATTAAGGAGTTTAATTCATATATCCAGAATGTTTCCCTTCTGGAGATCTCATTAATCATATCGGTACCTCTGCAATATCTTTTGACCTTATCTATTCCATAGAAAGTCAACAGACTAGGATCACTGTTATGTTTAAATTTAAAGTGTCTGGAAACACTGTGTTTGTCATAGCCCTTTTTTATATTATTTAAATGCTCACCTATTCTGGTTTTCATTTATCCACTGTGCTGCCATTTATCACCTCATTTTTTGTTGTCCTAAAGAAAAAATTTATGAAAGCTAAGCATTAGAAAATAGGGAGCTTGGCTGTTTATTTTACACAGAACCTATCACACCCTACAAAGGCTTCATCCAAATGATCGTAGACCTACCATAGATTCTACAAGTTGCCGGCAGTTCCCAGAGGATCTTATGCACATGCTATGTAGATGCCCAAAACATTTTCATTAATCGACTGATATATTAACCATGGTTAATAGAGTTTCCCATACTACTGTTATCTTAGTACCTAAATTGGGTTTAATTGGGCTAATAGCCAGGTAAGTGGTTCCTCCCAAAGTACAGATACCTATACATTGATCCTGGCCCATTTATCTATACTGTCCTCAGGGGACCTTCTGCACATTCTGTGGTGAAGCCTAATGTTTTCCCATATTGAACAGATATATTACTCATGGTTAATAGTGTATTCCATTATACATTAGACCCTAAATTGTGTTTACCCGTGCTTACAAACAACAGAGGTTTCTCTCGAAATACAGATGCCTATATGTAGATCTATGATCAGTGGTTATTCTGATACAGTTGTCGTGTACAGGACAATGTGGATACTGGCAATTCAAAAACCATTGGCCCACCAGATATAACCCTTCCCACTCCCAGCAAGCTTTATTTTTTCCTTGGGGGATGGACATCTTGTTTTCTGTTGAGAAAAGTTTACACTTTTTTGCTCGCTACTTTGTTTTGTTGCATTTATACCCCTTCTTAGGCAACAAGTGATGTCACACATACTGTTCTCTATAGGCCAACACAAACCTGCCTGGAGAGATAACAATGTAACAAAATGCGCAGAAACTTGTAACGAAATGAGTAAAAAATGCAATACTTGGGTGTGAATGCAGCCTAAAGGCTAAGGTCACCTTTTCTGGAAAACAGCCTATGTAGTCAAGGAGCCCCAGTAGAAATTGACAATTGACTGTACAGCTTTGTAAAATGTTCATTCATTTTATTGTCATACCTGTAAGACATTTGGGCCCTCTTAGAAGCCTGGCTTTAAATCTCTCAGCAATCCCCACATCCTGCCTTGTTGCTAGGATGTGAAATCCATTGGATGCTCACTCTCAACATTACAGGAGTGAAAACCAAAAGCAGGACATGGAGATTGATAACTGGGAGTTTTTCAGCCAGGCTTTCAGGGGACAGTATTTATGACCATAAAACGAATGAACATTTGACAGAGCTGCACAGTTTTTAAGCCCTGGCTCACATATATGCAAACTGGACTGGATGTGTTTTGAACCGCATCCAATTTGTATGACATTCAATGGAGGCAGTTCAAATATGTGTGGGCCAGCCACAGCATGTTTTCAAAAAGAGTCTGATACGATTTTGAGCCAAGTTCAGGTGCGATTTGCAATGTCCTACACTTTGACCGCTGAACACCGGAGGGGGCCGAAATTGCACAGTTGTCAAAACTGGCCCGCACATATATGAACCTGGGCAAATCGTTACTAGGGCTGCAAAACTGCATAGGCTGTTTTATAGAAAAGGTGGACATCGCCTTTAAGTTGTTCCTGTTAAACAGCACAACATGTTTTATTTCCAAGGACAGGGGGAACAATCCTGGAGCATCTGACTGCTCCAGGTCTCGATCTACCTAAAGTTCTGGGGTATCCTGCAGTGCTAGCTTTCATTAAAGCAGTAGTAAGCCGCAAAAAAAGGGTCCCTGCAGGATAATGTAACAATGTGCTAGTATGCATACTAGCATATTAGAACAGACTTACGATAGTGACACTAAAGCTTGTTTTTTGTTTTCTAAAATAACAAACATGCCTATACGTAAATGCTCTGTGCAGTGATTTTGCACAGTGCTGCCCTGATCCTCCTCTTTTCGGATCCCCTCCGGTGCTCCTGGCTCCTTCTCCTCGAGCAGTGCCCCCAGGGAAAGATGCTCGCCCTGGGGGCACCTCTGTGTGCTCATCCCTGATCTGCTGCTCTATGGTCCCACATAGAGCTGTGGCTCGGCCCCGTTCTGTCCTCATTGGCTCACTGGCTGTGATTGACAGTATTGGGAGCCAATAGGCTCCTGTTGCTGTCTCAGCCGATGAGGAGGAAGAGTTTCAGAGTTACCATCCTTCTATACCTTATTATAGGCTTACCTGTAGGTATGCAGGTGGGTATAGAAAAGTATCTCCCCCCTTTAAAGTAATCCCATTTTGTTGCCTTGCAGCCTGAAATGAAGACAGACACAGTTTCTGTTTTATCCTGCTGTATTTACTTAAACTTATAACATCCAAAGGAAAGATAAAACACCAACATGTCAGAAAATTAATTTAAATAAAAATCAAAAACAGAATAACCGAGTTGGAAAGAGGATCCCCCCCTTGTGTCGTTATTTTGTTGAACCACCTTTTGCTTTATTTCCAGTCTTTAGTCTGTTGGGAGATGTCTCTCTTGACTTTGCATATCTAGACTTTGCAATATTTCCCCACTCGTCATCACAGAACTGCTCAAGTTCAGTTAAATTTGATGGTGACCGTTGGTGGACTGCAGTCTTCAAGTCATTCCACAGATATTTGATGCGGTTCAAGTCTGGAATCTGACTAGGCCATGCATGGACATTCACCCATGTCTCCTTCAACCAATGTGTGGCCATTATTGCTGTGTGCTTTGGGTCATTTTATAACGTCCTCCACAATGTAGTGCAATCCCATCAAATAATGTGACAGTCCTTAGTTCAAAACAATATAATGGTCCTTCAGTGTCCAATAAAGCTGTATTTACTCCACCACTTTTATCTTTTCCATTCTCTTTTCTCAAGCTCTGTGACACATGCAAACACCCAGTGATAATGCGCTCACCTTGTGCAATGGACCAGATCAAGGTCATAACGCACTTGTTGCCCCACCTTGGGCATATGTGGCATCAGCTATTCCTCCCGCTCCTTCCTCCTTCGTATTCATCACCATGGAAATATCACATGCAAAAATAGAATGGGATTACAATATTGCTCTCTGAATAGTAACAGTTTATTAACCGCTTTCCCACCGCCCTATAGCAGAAACACCGCTACAGGGTGGCAAGGGTGCGCAAAATCGTGTGTGTGTGTGTGTGTGTGTGTGTGTGTTTGCATTTTCAGGTAGGGGGCACGTATGAGCAGCGCACGTGCCCTACCCGTGCCACCATTGGTGGCCTCACCTGACGATCATCGGGTCCTGGCCGGTGATTCCTACAGATCTCTCCCCTGTCAGCTCTTGCACACTGCTTTGTATGGCTCTACATAGCAGAACCATACAAAGTAGTGTGCTTACAGTGTAAAGCGCACACAGCAGTGAAAAAGCGCACAGTTAACCCTTTGATCGCCCCAGATGTTAACCCCTTTTTTCCCAGTGTCATTAGCATTGATCATTGTATTGCTGTCACTGGAGATGTCAGTGGCAGTCACCCCCCCCCCCCCCCCCCCCCCCCCCCCCCCCAGTGTCAGTATATACCGCCATTTGTAGACACTATAACTTTCACGTAAACCAAATAATTTACACGTATTGTTATTTTTTTAGCAAAGACATGGAGCAGAATACATTTTGTCTTAAATTTATGAAAAAATTAGATTTTTTTTAAATTTTTTTTACTGGACATGTTTAATAGCAAAATGTCGAAAAATATTGTGGTTTTTTTTTTTTCTCAGTTTGACACCCGAGGTAAGGGCTTTTAAAGCGTCACCTATGGAGACTTTTAGGTACTGCAGTTTGGTGCCATTTCATGAGTGTACACAATTTTAAAGCGTGACATGTCAGACTTTTTTTTTAGTAGTGCAAAAAATAAAGACCACAGAGGCGATCAAATACCACCAAAAGAAAGCTCTATTTGTGGGATAAAAAGACATAAATTTAATTTAGGTGCGACGTTGCATGACCACACAATTGTCAGTTAAAGTGACACAGCGCCATATCGCAAAATAATTGCCTGGTCAGGAAGAGGGGTAAATCCTCTGGAGGGCAAGTGGTTAAAAGGCACCCACAGTGCTATGTATCTCAGTATGAATACACACGAGTCATAGTGATTAGTACAGCGTGTGTTCTCATACCCTCAGTGCGGCTCCGAACACTGTACTCGTTACACTCCTGTACCAGAGCTTCCTCAGCAGTGTGATTCTTTTCTATACCCACTCTAAATCAAAAAGCGGACTTTACCACCTCTCTAAGGTTCCCAGGTTCTCGGTGTTTGTGATCTACTCTAATGTAGGAGCAGGGCCCTCCTATCCCTCTTGTATTGAACTGTATTGTTGCTGTTTTGTTCCCCATTATATTGTAAAGCGCTGAGCATACTGTTGGTGCTATATAAATCCTGTATATAATAATAATAATGTACTGCTTTTCTACAAAACTGAAGCTTGCTGGAAGTGGCTTTGTTTGTCAGTGTCCAGATCCTCCTGTCTCAATGTAACTCAGTCATGTCAGAATAACTACTGATCATGTGTCCCTTAATGGTGTTTGTTTAATTTGCAGTGTTTGAACATGTTCAATATAGCAATTCTACAGAACAAGATGTCAGTATTTAATAAAACATGGGACCCCTGGATTCATTAACATGTTCTGCCTCCTAAATATGTTTTAAAGTCCATTGGGGCCAGTGGGAATGCTTGCTGCTTTCTCCTCTCTCCTTTCTTTCTCCTTTTCACTTCTGTTCTCGTTCCTCTCTTTTTCTGTTCTTCTCTTTTTACCTGCCCTCCAGTTCACTTGGGGGATCCATGTGACTATTGGCTGGCTGCCGTGGCTTCTATGCCTCCCATCAGGGGAACAGATAAACATTTTGCCTCTTTTGTTGATAGATTGGTTAGAGATTATGGTGCCTACAGATCCCCTAAAGGGGACACCTCTTTCCTCCATGATTTTCACCTGTAATATGTTATGCAGGACTCAGATTGTTTTCATTGTTATAACTTTGTTCTGTGCTGAAGCATATGTTTTCAGTTGTGTACAGTTAAGTTTGCTTTGTAACTTGGTACTACTGCTATTTGCATTGTTCAAACTTCAATAAAAAAGACTGGAAATGAAAAAGTTCAAAATAAAACACCAGAAAAAAAAATAGGATGGGGGGGGGGGGGGTGTTCTAGGTTGTAATGTAAGTTATTAGGCACATTATTGCAACAGCGAAATTCAAGGTTTTATAAATCTCTTGATTAGGATGAAGTAAGAGTATTCATATTACATAGTTACATAGTTAGTTTGTGGGTCTTTTTTTTTTTTTTTTTTTTTTTTTTTAATTTAATTGACCTGGATGGACTTTTTCAATCAGACTAAGAGTTGAAGCATGCCAGCTGTTGTACATCCCAAACACTCTTGGAAGAAAACAGATGCACAGTGAACTATCCAACATCTCAATTGACATTATTGCTCAATTGACATTATTGTATTGGACACTATATAGACCCCAGCAGGATTCTGAATCTTTGACATGTTTTACCCAGCCAGTCGGTTTAGTCAGTCTGTCTTCTTCCTCAAAGACTTGCACAAGTGAAAAGTTTGAGTGAACTCCAGAACTGCCATTGTGTTGGGGTGGGTGCAGTGTTTTAAAGCCTAAGTGCGGTAAAAAAAAAAACCCAAAAAATCAGCACAAGGGACATAACTTAAAGTAGGATGTGTGCCTTGTGCTGATATTTCTTCTGTTGGATGAAATCCTCCTCCATCAAATACTCCTTAATCAAATTTTTGTGATTTATATTTTGACTGCACTTTGCAGTTTTCATTACTAGACTAAAAGTTTTCTGTAGTACAACCTTTGTGAAACTTAATATATTAACATTGAAACGTGAAAACATTCTGTAATCTCTTTTTTATCCAGTTGGGTTTTTGTCTTTTACACTTTTGCAGTCTCGAAGCAGTTTAGAGCTCACAGAGTCTCAGTCAGCAGATGCAGAGCCACCGCCACCACCAAAGCCGGACCTGAGCCGCTACCCAGGGTTGCGAAGTCAGATAGGCCTCGGGGAGAGGGAAGGTATGAAATATCGATGTCAAATGTCAAGCAGTGAATTGCTCATTCATTGAAAACCGTTATTACTGTTTTATTAAAATAATTGATATGATGCTTTTTTTTCCTGGTAGCTGTAGGCCAAATCACAAGCCAATTTTATATATATTCATCACCAGGAGGAACATCTTTTAGTAAATCTAGAAATGGTTACAGAGTCATGGCTGTTGTAACAGCAAATTGGAATTCTGATGATCATGATTTAGGGGTGTGTTATGTAACTGGAGGCAGTATGATTCAAAGAAGGAGGTAGTAAAGGTATAAAGGCCTTCTGTGTGTTTTCAGTGTGTGTGCTAACCTGACCATATTGCTCCCATACATTAGTACATTGTAAATTGATTAGGTTTTATTCCGCTTCCTTTAGGTCATTGGACATTGGCAAAAGTACACTCAAATAACCCCACCCACTCCTCAAGGCTTCAGCTTTTGTTAGTGTCCTTAGGTGGTGACAGCTTCTCCTGTTGGAGAAAAATTTCCTTTTTATTTTTTTTTTTACCAGAAAATATCTTTCATCAAGGTTAGATTGCTTTTGGCCTACTATTAGATGCCAGATCGGTTACTGCCCTGTACATCTTGGGAACTCTACTGGAACCCTGCGTCAAAAGGGCTGGCCTGTGGCTGGAAGCCAGGGATCCTCTTGTGACTTAGTGGGATCAGTACACCCTGATCTGTGTCTTTCCTCCCCTAAAACTTCATCCTCATCCTCAATGCATGATCAAGATGGAGGGTATTACAGTGATCCTTATTGTTCTGATATTGCCCAGGCGAATGTGGTACCCAAATCTACCAAGTCTGGAAGATGCTCTGTGGGCACTGCCAGATCATCAGGTTCAGTTTCAAGAGTTGGCATGACTATTGAAGTCTAGTGAAATGGCAATGGCCACCAGCTGGAGAGTAAGTATGTGTGTCTCTCAGATGGTTTACTGTGACCATAGCTCTTTGTTCAAATCTAGCCAGGGCAAGAATGAAGTATATGTACAGATAACTCTGCACAGATGTACGTGATAACAATATACTATTTTGAGTGAAAATATTTCACCCCTTAGGTTTATTTGAATTGTAAAAGGCTTATCCTTCTCTACTTTGGTTTTGCTGACATCTGACATGGCATTTATTTCCAGACAATTCCCTGTTGAATGCAGAGAGTCCTCCTACTCCAACGATGTACAGATATCGGCCAGGTTTCAGCAGTGGAAGTGGTGGGCCTCCACCCATTTGCAAGGTAAATTTAGTGATCTACTTAAAGCCCAACTCTGGGAAAACCTTATTTTTTTCTTTAATTAAAACCGTCCCCTGGTAGCAGCTTAAAGTGGTTGTAAACCTCAGTTATGAAATCTGAACAAAGCACAGATATCTCCAAATATTTAGGTCTCCTTTCTCTCCACCAGAGATAAAATGGTGACAGGGTTGGAGAGCTCAGCACACAGCTTGTTTATTCACAACATAGCTCCTTTGTGTGTGTGTTTTGTGTATGTGGGGGTCCCTTTCCTCCAGTCAGCTCTCACAGAGCTCTAACTGCAGCTCTCTGCCCCCACCTTTGTGATACTGACAAACGTAGACGTATTTGATCTAAAATCAGCACTTCACTTTTGAAGGGATGTAGAAAAGTGAAGACTGCAGATAGACAAGTAAACCTTATGTAGGAGTATTTGTTTCATCTGTGTATCATCTGAGACTATTCACTTCGCTGGGTATATGGAAGGGTTTACAACCACTTTAATATAAAAATAGCACAAGCTGCAATAACTGCCCTCAATCTGCAGCTGTCCCATACGGTACTTCTTTTCTACCATAAGAAGCCCTCAGTATTCTTTGTGGAATGAGGTGCAACTCCTTCATCCTGGAAAAGTGATGACAAACTGTGAATGCAGAGATTCATGGGACCATTTTCAGAGGGGGTGTCACCATGATGCCCTTCATTACAGTTTTATGATGCAGGGAGTAGCAGTAATGGTAATGATTTCTGGTCAGAGCTGCTGTCTGCATCATTTGGTGGTGGTGGTGGGAGGGGGGAGGTAAATGGGACCCACTGCCAGTAGAAGACCAAAGAGGACTCTGTGGGGTAGAACAACTTAAACTGGTGCACTCAGAATCTAGCGCAGCTGTGCATGGTAGCCAATCAGATTTTCACCTCAACTTGTTCAATTAAAGTGTTACTAAACCCACAACAGTAAAATCAGTCTGTAGATGCAGTAAAGCATGCCTGTTATACTCACTGTGGTTAATCCTCCACATTGTGTAAAAAGGCTGTTTGATCCTGTCTTCTCTGATCCTCCTGTTCTTCTACTGTCTCCAATCCATCTGCTGATAGTACAGAGCTCTAGGAGTCACTCTGCACATGCTCAGTTTAGTGTGTTTTGCTAGAGAGGGTTTTTTTTTCTTTTGGGAGGGTGCATGTGAGCAACACAGGACCAATCAGCACTTTCTAGACAGAGGGTCAGGGGTTAAGCAGCCTTGTAATACAGTCAGAGCAGAAGGAAAACTCCTCCTACAAGCTTTAACCAGTGCTCAGCTGGACACTGATAGAAGTCACAAGACTGCTATATACTGCTGAGGAGAAAAGATATTTAGCAGTTTATATTTAGTAAAATAATTGCATTTCCATGGTCTGTGTGCTGTGTAGTGGATGAGGGTCCTGGGGATATAGTGAATGCAGGGTCCTGGGAGACCGGATATAGGTCCTGGGAGACCGGATATAGTGAATGCAGGGTCCTGGGAGACCGGATATAGTGAATGCAGGGTCCTGGGAGACCGGATATAGTGAATGCAGGGTCCTGGGAGACCGGATATAGTGAATGCAGGGTCCTGGGAGACCGGATATAGTAAATGCAGGGTCCTGGGTTTAATAACACTTTAAGCTTTGGCAATAAAACCTGGAAGTTTATTGGTTTCTAGGCAGAAGTGAGTCTGGTTTTGCACTCACCAGCTTTAGTAAATAAACTCCGATGTGTCATGTGACCAGTTTGAAGACTTCTGAAAACAGTAAGTATAAAAATAACAATAAAAAAAAAAGCTGGTGCAGTAAATAAGAATTGGGTTTGAAAGGGCATTTGGTGAACACCGTGTGGGATTATATCCTTTTTGGGTATTCATAATATATTTAAATGAATATCTGGCAAATATCTCAGAATCTCAAATTTAAAGCTCCACATTTGTGCTGTCTTATTTATACATTGGCATGCATCATCCATTTACCCTCATGTTCTCCAAATTGTGGCAGTAGTACAGATTTGTGGCAAAAAAAAAAAAAAATAATGCAAGCACACAATGTATATGGATAGACAGACACATATACACACTTTTTCTTACCTTTTCTAACAATCTTAACCACTCCTGAGGATTTACCCCCTTAATGACCAGGCCTCTTTTTGCTACTCGGCGCTGCACTAATTCAACTGAAAATTGCACGGTCATGCAATGCTGCACCTAAACGAAATTTTCACACAAATAGAGCTTTCTTTCAGTGGTATTTGATCACCTGTGCGCTTTTATTTTTCACGCTATAAACAAAAAAAGACCAAATATTTTGAAGAAAAACAATATTTTTTACTTTCAGCTATAAAAAATATATAGTAAACTCAAAGTTAGTTATAAATTTAGGCCAAAATGTATTCTGCTACATGTTTTTGGTAAAAAAAATCCCAATAAGTGTATATTGATTGCTTTGTGTGACAGTTATAGCGTCTACAAACTATGGTATAGATACTGCAATTTACAACATTTTTTTGCTATACAGCGCTGCGCTAGTTTAACGGACAATTGCGCGGTCATGCAATATGGTACATAAATGAAATTTATGTCCTTTTTTTTAACACAAATAGAGCATTCTTTTGGTGGTATTTGATCACCTGTGCACTTTTTATTTTTGGCGCTATAACCAGAAAATTTTTGAAAAATTTTTTTTTTTTTTTTTTTTTTTTTTAAAAACAGTATTTTCTTATTTTGGTCATAAAAAATATCTAAAAAAACTAAAATTTCGTCAAATTTAGGCCAAAATGTATTCTGCTACATGTTTTTGGTTAAGAAAAATCCCAATAAGTGTATATTGATTGCTTTTTGTGAAAGTTATAGCGTCTACAAACTATGGTATAGATAATGGAATTTACATAGCTTTCAATTTCTGACTGCCCATCACATTTCTTGAGGTGCTAAAATACCAGAATAGTACAAACACCCTCAAATGACCCCTTTTTGGAAAGTAGACACCCTAAGCTATCTGAGAAGCATATTGAGTCCATGGAAGATTTATTTTTTTTCCACAAGTTTCTGGAAAATGACAATAGAATTACACCCAAAATACATTCTACTTCTGAGTATGGGGATACCACATGTGTGAGACTTTTTGGTAGCCTAGCCACATACAGGAGCCTGAAATCCAATGACCACTTTGAAAGCCTGAAGGTGCGTAACTTCCTCTACACTTCCTTTACACTTTTTCACTACCTATCACAGTTTCGAAGGCCCTGACATGCCAGGATAGCCCCAAACCCCCCCAAATGACCCCTTTCTGGAAAGTAGACACCCCAAGAAATTTAAAAAAGAGGCATGGTGAGTATTTTGCAGATCTCATTTTTTTTTTCTCACAAGGTTTTGAAATATAAAAAAAAATAGAAAAAATATGTTTTTGTTTTTTTCTTCATTTTCCAAAAAACTTGTGACAACAAATGAGATCTGCAAAATACTTATCGTGCTTTTTATCAAATTCCTTGGGGCGTCTACTTTCCAAAAAGGGGTAATTTGCGGGGGTTAGGTGCTATCCTGGCATTTCATGGCCTCCAAAACTGTGATAGGTAGTCTGGAAGTGTAATGAAGAAATAAAGCCCTTTAAAAGCCTGAAGGTGCTTATTGGATTTTGGGGTCCTGTACTTGGGCTAGACTGACAAAAAGTCTCTCTCACATGTGGTACCCCCATACTCGGGAGAAGTAGCAAAATGTATTTTGGGGAGTAATTCCACATATAACCATGGCATGTGTGAGCAGTAAATCATTTAAGTGACAATTTTGTGTAAAAAAAATATATATATATTTATTTTTGTCATTTTCCAAAAACTTGTGGTAAAAAAATAAATTCTATTGATTCAACATTCCTCTCAGCAAATAGTTTGGGGTGACTACTTTCCAAAAGGGTGTCATTTTGGGGGGTGGGGGCGTTTTATGCCAGCATTAGAAGTTTATGCCACACATCATTCACTCTTCTAACCACCTGAAGACCAAGCCTTTTTGTTCACATGACAAAAATCTGTATTTTTTGCTAGGAAATTAATTTAAACCCCCAAAAATTATATTTTTTTTAAACCAGACACCCTAGTGAATAAAATGGTGGGTACTACAATTTTTTATGGCACGTAGTACTCGCGCAGCGATTTTTCAAAAGCAATTTTTTAAAAAAAAAATACACTTTTTTTACTTTTAATGCACAAAAAACACAAATATATTGGCCAATTGGTAAAATATAAAAGATAATGGTATGCCGAGTAAATAGATACCAAACATGCTTTAAAACTGCGCATGCCCTGTTCAATGGCAACAAACTGCAAACATTTTTAATATCCATAGACAGCGCTTTAAAAGCCACCATTTTAGATTTACAGAGGAGGTCTAGTGTTAGAATTACTGCCCTTGATCTGACGTTTACGGCAATACCTCACATGCATGGTGCAACCGCTGTTTACATAACGGCACAGGGTCAAGGCTTGTGCGCACAGGTGTGCGCGCATGGGAGGGGCAATTTTTTTTTTTTTTTTTATTTTTATTTTTTTTTTTTTATTATTTTTACTATGTACCTTTTCATTTTTTTTTTTTTTTTATCACTTTTAATGCTATAACAGGGAATGCAAATAACCCCTATAACTTCAATGGGCATTGTCATATATTCTTTTTTCAGAAATTTCGGGTCTATCAGACTCTAGTATCTCCTCTGCCCTTACATTATCTAATCAAACCAAAATCGGTGTGATCAGATGCTTTCCCAATTTACAAATGGCGCTGTTTATATCCTGCAAAACTGAAGTGATGAAATGCTTGTAGCTTCCGAATTCTTAGACTATAGAGATGATTGGCACCATTCTGGTCTCCAATCAGCTCTATGGTCAGCTGGCAGAAACACCGGCTGCATTCTCAGGTTCCCCTGATGGCACGGGACTGCCCGAGAAGGCTGTGGAAGGCAGCGGGGGAGGGGGGACATTATCTCTCACTGCTTGTAAAAGCAATCTTGCAGCTAAT